CCCCAAAACCCCAAAACCCCAAAACCCCAAAACCCCTTTTCCAGAATTATATAGAATTTTCTAATTATTTATTGTTCTTTAAATAGAGGGTGAAGACTGATAAGGCTCCTTTGTGAGGGTTGGAAGGTGGAGGAAGGGGGTTGGAATGAGATTTAAGACGGTTTCTAATGGATTAATAGGTGTAGAGATTGTAATGGTTAGGTCTTAGTTAGACTTAAGATGGGGGTTTGAAAAATATTTAGGATATAGTTTTGTAAAGATCTGATAATCGGCTATTAAGTTTCTTGCATTTCTTCTTTGTTTAAAGATTCTGAATCGGAATAGTCTTCTTAATGATTTATCTTAGTCTCTTGATATTGTTGGTAATCTGAAATGAGATCTGCAAGGTTTGATCTTGCTTCTACAAACTCCATTTCATCCATTCCGTCCATTCCAAAAGTTGATTTCCCAAAAATCCCAGAATAAAGAAATGCTTTTCTCTTGAACATCATATCGAATTGGGCTCCAATTCTGCAGAAAAATTTCCTAATTTGAAGTAGAGTTAGCAATCACTGCTCCTGAAAGTTTAACATTTTTCGCAGGAATATTTGATCATTCTGATTTGATGCTACATTGAGTAAAATTAGGCGATATTTTAGACTTCATTCGTTCAAGTTCGTAATGAACATCTCTGAGAGAATTCCGACTCCTCAGCATTGTAAATGCTGTGAAGTATTTCCCACGGCTAGGATCAACAGCTCACATCATATTTCTGGGATCGAAAATTTGTTCAATGATTTCTGAGGTGAACAATGCTTCGTATTGTATTTAATCTTTCTGTGTTAAAGAGGCAAGTCCAGTCAAAAAGAAATGAAATTTGTTAAAGGGAACCAAGTTTGTAAGCATACTTCTTAAATGTGTATTTAGTTTTCCATCAAATCGAAACTAAGCAGTCACTTCAAACATAGAAGATGATATAAGATGGTTGGTGTCTCAGTAATTTGGAGATTTTAGCTTCAAGAAATTTAGGCAAATTTTCTTATATTGCTTCGTTATCGTAGGCTGTGACTCCATCTGCATATTCAATCAGAAGATTCATAGCTAAGACAGAATTGTAAGGCTCGACGACTCAGTCAGATACTTTTGGAGATGGAAAACGGTAAATGTTTGTATTGGGTAGTCAGAATACTCTTCCTTTTAATTTTAAAGCAACTGGAGTTCCTAACCCAGATCCAGTTCCTCCTCTTATTGAGTGAGAAAGTTGAAAGCCTTGTAAGCTATCACATCCTTCGACCTCTTCTCTGATAGCTTCAAGGATAGAATCTACCATCTCAGCTCCTTCACTATAGTTTCCTTTTGCAAAAGAATTTCCTGTACTTGTATTTTCAGATACTATATTATCAGGCTTAAAAAGGGTTCCAAGAGATCCAAATTTTATTGAATTCTGAGCTGAGGGCTCCATATCAACTAGAACCATTCTAGGCACATACTTTCCACCCTCAATTTCACTAAAGTAAGTCTCTATTCTTTCAAGTCTTAAGTCTGAACCCCTAGAGTATATAAACACAATCCAAATCTCTTCCAATACCCCAAAAATATCCTTGGGAATCAATTCCATGCTCATATCACAACTTCTCCAAAAAGCTAGCTCCCACACCATCCTTTCTACAAGCTCACAATCTCTCTCATCTCCTTCCTCAATCTAAATCCAAACTCAATAACCCATCCCTAAAACTCTCAGTTCCCACACAAGCTACAGTAACACCCGATCTCTGGCCTCAGTAAAATAATCAAGAATATTTGAAACTAAGTGGCTGAACTTAACTGGTTGAGAGGAGATTTGTGCTTGGTAAGGGGACTTACTGTGAAAAGGGTAATTTTTTATTAGAAATTAGGGGTTTTGGGGTTTTGGGGTTTTGGGG